ACACACACACACACACACACACATATATATATATATATATATATATATATATATATATACATACATATATGATTCGTTTTCCTGGTTTAAATATGAAGAACACTTTAATTTCTTATAGCTAATCGAGCAACAATACTTCGTGCACCGCTTTTAATTATTATTAAATATAATAATAACAATAATAATAATAATAATTATTATTATTATAATTGTTATTATTGCTTCGGTTTTTTGTTTGGTTTTGCTGGATCAAAAAAATGAAACAAATTAGAAGTTAGTAGACAAAGAATTGAAGCTGTTCTGTTATTATTATTATTATTATTAGTATTATTACTATAATTATTATTCTTTTTAGCATCGTCATATGTTATCATTATCATCGCCGACGTTTCAAAACTATCATCAACAGCTTCTGTATTTATCGGTCATCATCATCGTCATCATCATCGTCATCATTATCATCATCTCCCCTATCATCATCTCAACCATCATCATCATCGTCATCATCATCGTCGCCATCATCATCATCATCGTCATTAGGTTACTACAGCAATAGTTACAACAGATGGACCCCTAAGAAAACATCGTCATCATCATCATCCCTATCATCATCATCACATCTATCATCATCATCATCACCACCTACATCATCATCATCATCATCATCATCATCACCTCTGTCGTCATCAGTATCGAAATCGGCCAACCTATCACAGACGAGTCCCATTTTTAGGGACAATATTAGAGCGAAATTGGATGCTGATAATAATAATATAGAAAACAACAACAACAACAACATCATCATCATCAACAACAACAACAACATCATCATCAACAACAACAACAATAACAACATCAACAACAACAATAATAATAATAACGACGACATTGTCAAAATTTTGAATAACATCAGTGACAATAATAGCAAAAACACGAATAATAATAACAGCAACAACAATAACAATAATAATAATAATAAAAACAATAATAATAATTTCTATAAAATTGGTAACACAAAGAAAGTTGGTATCGACAACGAACGCCTTAGGTTTCAAGCGAGGGAAAAAATTGACAACCTGAATACTGCTGCTGCTGCTGAAGCTACTACATCTACTACTACTACATCTGCTGCTACTACATTTGCTGCTACTACATCTGCTGCTACTACATCTGCTGCTACTACATTTGCTGCTACTACATCTGCTGCTACTACATCTACTACTACTACTACATCTGCTACTAATAATAATATTATCATAAGGATTAACAATGATGATGATGATGATGATGATGATTATGACGACAGTGTAGAGCTGTTAACAAGCGCAAACAACAACAACAAAAACAACAAGAGCATTAATAATAATAATAATAATAATAATAATTACAGCAGCAATAATAACAATAACAAAAATAATAAAAATAAATATGCTTCTTACTATTTTGCAGACATGGCGACAACAAGAAGATGAGGAAGGTCGTACGATGATGGGATGACAAATTTTTGAATGAATGAATGAATGAATGAATAGATGAATGAATGGATTAATGAATGAATGAATGAATGAACGAATGTTTGATTGAAAGAATAAATGAAAAAATGAAGAATCGAATTGAAAGAATGAAAAATGTATACACACACACACATACATACATTTTTGGTTTTAACATACATACATACATACATACATACATACATACATACATACATACATACATACATCGCTGGGGTGGACGAGTTTGGGCACCACGGTTTGGTTTGTCGCCTGGGTGGGGGCCGTCAACTACGTCACTCAGCGCTAAACGATTACATTTGTCGGCTCTTCTCCAAGGCTTCAAACCCGGTTCTCAAGGAACCATCCAGCATTTCTGCGCATAATGGTAGGCGCCCGGACGGATGCACACCAATACCTTGGAGAGTCGGCAGATGTTTGGCGTGGGATGTTACGGTCCCTGGCACCCTCGCCGAACGATAGTAAACCTGACAAGTAAAGAATGCGGTTTGGCCGCGGCCAGGGCAGCGGACGAGAAAATGAAAAAATATGGGAATGCCCTCCCCTCGATGGAATTCTTGCCAATATGTATCGAGGTTCTCGGCTCGATGGACCCCAACACCCTTAAATTTCTTAAGGAAATATGCAAAATGATCAGCGTCAGATCAGGCGACAGCAGGGAACTGTTTTTCGCAACTAACCACATTTCGTGCTTGTTGCAGCGGTTCCTGCGTGTCTGTGTGCTTGAAAATATCCAACTGAATGCCGTCACGTGCAATTAACGACAAATCAAAGTGTCAATCCATTTGTTACTTGATGTTTGACGGTTCAGTGTCACTCATCATGTTTTGGTTTTAACATACATACATACATACATACATACATACATACATACATACATACATACATACATACATACATACATACATACATACATACATACATACATACATACATACATACATACATACATACATACATACATACATACATACATACATACATACATACATACATACATACATACATACATACATACATACATACATACATACATACATACATACATACATACATACATACATACATACATACATACATACATACATACATATGTATGCATGCATGCATGCATGCATACATACATACATACAATACCTAATACCTTGGAGAGCCGGCAGATGTTTGGCGTGGGATGTTACGGTCCCTGGCACCCTCGCCGAACGATACGTAAACCTGACAAGTAAAGAATGCGGTTTGGCCGCGGCCAGGGCAGCGGACGAGAAAATGAAAAAATATGGGAATCCC